ACCACATCCATGAGGCGGGTCCTGCAGGTCGTTTAAATTTGGAGAAAAGAAAACATGCATGTGTAAGCACAACGAAAATAAGGGATTGGTTTTAGGACCTAGACCTTGGTTGATGCAAACTTACAAGTCCTTAATTACAATATTTTCATTGAGTATTATAGGTTACTTATTTCCTTAATTTTTCTTTTTGTTCGAATCTTGCCATTGTCATGTTGCTTTTTCTTCCTAAAAGAAAAGCAGGAATCTATTGGTGTCTCTTGTTTCACGAGTTTTATATGGGTCAATTACATAAGTTTTATATCTCTTATTGAACTGAATTTATGATGGCTTATTAGTTCAACTAATTTGGGCTTGTTATGGGCTTGAAGTGAATTTACAAACACTAATTATCCTAAACATAATATCATCCCTAGTCACTAACTTTAAGTCCAAGACAAAAAGGATAGTTTACATCTATGAAAGTGTTATTTTAGTTTTACACTATAATGCCATGATATATAGGGATTCGGATATAATCTCCTTTTACTTTTTCATGCAAATCTCTAATTTTTATCAAATATATAACTATATATATTTAAGCTTTCATAAAAATTTTTTGTTCTCACTATTCTTTTTTTTTTTTTCTTAATTTTGTAGCTAATAATACAAGTCTAAGTAAGCACTAATGTCTCTCCCAACATCTAGAACAAGAGACTGCATCTCAAGCTTTAAACAGCCCATCACCAAAGATGATGAAAATAAATCAAAAGGTTTGATAATGATGATTAAGAAGTATAATACCAAATATTCACAAAAAAATATGGCTCCACTAAAATAAGTTCTTTGCGGAGGTTGTACAAATGATAGGAATATTGATACATGTTTATTGCGGTGGATTCAAGAGCCACCTACAATGATATTTAAAAATGGACTCAAGGCATGGAAATTAGAGGTAGCAGATGATGAGCATGATGAAGAGAATTTTGCATATTTTGATGAAGAGGATGAGAAATTAAGTGGTCTTTACAAAGCCCAAGAGAAATATGATGATTTATTTTCCAAAATAAGTTTGTCTTTTTTGAGAGACTAGCTTGAGAGACTCTAGAAGCTCATTGAAGTGTTGCTTATGCTAAATTGGAAAACAATGGCGAGAAAATATAGAATGAGCAAAAAAGACGATGATTAACTTGAAACAAGGTTCGGCGTTTCATTGCTTTTGCTCAAATATGGATATTTTAGACATGACTTATCCCAAAAAATAAAAGGGAAATAAAAAAAGAGTATGGAGTTTTGGATATTTCAAACATGAACTCAACTTGCTTGGAGTGGACAACGCACATGAAGATAGAGAACTGAGAGAAAAAGGGAGGAAGAAAGGGACAGATAACGAAGAGACTGAAAAGTAGGGAAGATGGAGAGGACAATTTTGTAATTTTGATTTTATATTTAATTAAATGCCGACCTGAAAAGGTGAAAAATTGTCACATCATTAAAAAAATAACAATATTATAATTATAATATTACATAAAATTATAAACTTATAATTTTTTATAATATTAAATAAATATAATGCAACATCTTGTAAATATATATAATATTATACATAAAATTTTAAATAAAAAATAATTATAAAATAACATATTATATTATAAGTTAATACAAGTTTACAAATGCCACACAATGCCGGTTGTTACTATAACATTTTCAACAAAACAAGTAAATTTTCTTTTACGTGTCATTAGTTAAAAAAAGTATATACATTCTTTTGGCTCCTTAACTTGAAGGACTAAATTAACTCCAAAAATTGATGTTCAATGATAATTTTAGTACCTTTCAAAGTTCAAGATTAAATTTGATTGAAAAATGAAAGTTGAGGGTATTTAACCTATGTTAGACTAAATCCCTAAAATCAAGAATAAAAGCTAGCACATCAATTTTGGTTAATTTAAAGAACTATCAATCTAATCATTAAACCAAAGTTATATAACCAATTGCGCGTTTAAAATAAAACCTAAGTTTTCGCAAAATAATAATAATAACCTAAGCAGGAAGCTCGCAGATAGTTATATATTGTCTACCAACCTCCGGTTCTATGTAAAACTCAAATGTGAATGTCAGCCAAAACCGTTCCAGAACCACAAAGGTGCATCAACAAAACTAAAAGAAAAACATGCTTTGCATCTAAACTAGCACAAAAAGTAGAGAATAAAAGGTAAACTCTGCAGCCGAGGAAACAAACAAGAGGCAAAGAATCACAGCCTTCTTCCACGCCTGCCACCCTTTCTGCGGGTGCTGTCAGTAGGGATTGGGGTCACGTCCTCTGCAAAGAACAACAATGTGGCTTCACTAAATGTGAAAGAAGAGAGATTTAAAAGATTTAAGAAGTAAAGGATGAGGAGTTAATACCTATTCGACCAATTTTCATGCCAGAACGAGCAAGAGCTCTAAGTGCAGACTGGGCACCAGGACCAGGGGTCTTAGTCTTGTTCCCACCAGTAGCACGGAGCTTTATGTGAAGGGCAGTAATACCCAGCTCCTGAACATTACAAACACGCCAAAAGTTAGCTATTGGAACATTGCAATGTTAACTATGACTGTAATCAATAACAGAAGGTAAGTCATAACACCTTGCATCTTTGAGAAACATCTTGTGCTGCAAGCATGGCTGCGTATGGGGAAGATTCATCCCTATCAGCTTTCACCTTCATACCACCTGCACTTGGAGTGAGAGGATCACCAACAACGCTTAAAAATAACTCAAACATCATATTAGAGCATAGATAATTTAGAAGAAAAACCAATGGTCCTTGTTCATGTAAGTAGAATTCATTTTCTAGTTACGCTGACTGTATCCCTTTAGAGAAATCCCACAGAAGATGGTGAAAAAGACCCTCATCCAAAAATTTTAAAATATGCAAATTACAACCAAAGGGACTCAAGATACCAAGAGAAAAAATGTCAGAGAGCCAAATACAAATCATACCAGTTATGCGAACCATCGTTTCCCTTCCAGACAAGTCAGTCACGTGCTGCGATTTTAAAAAGTATATTAACAATGTTGAACTACAAGAAACTTAATGTAAATCATACAGATTATACTTACAATGAATGTGTCATTGAATGAGGCAAAAATGTGAGCAACGCCAAAGACATGCTCTCCCTCTCTCACAGCAGGTCCAAGAGTCACATTGTCCTCCTTGGGCTCCCTGGTCTTGCCCTTTCTTCCAGACTACAAGGTCCCATACCAGAAAAAAATAATCACAAATTATAAATCAAAATCCAACGTTGTTTACCCATAAAATATCTATATATATATATCATCCTACAGAGGTGTAGATGAAATTATTCACTACAAAAGAAGGCATGCAATACAACAGTTAACATACCATGGACCCGATAAACATGCATGATTCTTCTCAAAATAAAATATGGTGAAACAGTTTATTGTTACTTGCTATCATGAGAACCACAGACTCATATGTATAGGCCAAATGGATAAGCAAATTATGAAATTCTGAGTCCAATCTTTCTAAAGTTAAACAAGTACAAACATCTCCCAACAACAGATACTAAGTTAACTAAAACATGAAAATGTTGCAATAGCCACTTGAAACTTTAATCAATAAACTGATTCAAAAGATAATTGTGCAACGTATGTTCAAAACAACATGGCTAACACACAATCAAAGTCTAACAACCAGCTAAAAGACTCTGTAAACATTGGTAATAAGCAAAGACAACATCAATCATGACTACATCTAAGAACAAAAAGAAAAGGAAACAAAAGCTAGAACATAGTATGGTATCGCATTGAAACACCATCAACCAAAACTAAATCCACTATGCAAGCAAATCACACAGTCTAGTGAGCAAGAAAATCAAGAAAGAGAAAGGAAAAACAGAATCACATGGTCAGATGCATTCTATTTCTGACTTCACCAAAATGATATCAACTAAAGCAAATACAGGAATTGGTCTTCGTTAAACGAAATGAATCCAAAATAAAGGAGCTAAAACACTAGTGCTTCTTTGACTTTCTCCGATTTCCGGTTCAGCGCTTTCTCAGAATCCAAACAAAAGCTATCTTATTATCCAGAATCGAAATCGGCAAGACATATTAGAGAAGGCGAGCAGACTCGAGCAGCCTTACCATAGTTTCGAGAGGATGACGGCGGGTGAAAAGCTACTCTACCGAGGGTTTCCGACCAACGCTTAGACCTGCTCCGCTGTTGCTTGTAGACAGAAGACGGAGGCAAATTTTGTGCTTTTATAGTTAGGGTTTCAGGCGAGTGAGAGACATGGAATGGCGTAAATGCCCTCCCCCATGTTATGAACGATAGGGCTAAATTCGTCCTCGCGTCAAGAGTTTATGTTTATTAGTCCTTTAACTATTTTTTTTTAAAATTATTACTATCTTTTTTTTCATTACATCTACACTAGAAGAAGAATATAGAGCTTTAAAAAAAAATTAATTCAGTCAAGTTTAATCATAATCATGATTTTTTAAAAAAATCTAATGAAAACCAAAATGTTTATTTGTTGATAAAAATAAAGTCTCCAATACATTGTTCGTTTTGAAAGATTAAAAATGATTTAATTGAAAATATTTGTTGATAACAAATTTTCATAAAGTGATATGATAGTAGTTGTTAGTAATTCTTTTAGAACATATTATATGACATGATAAGATGAATGAAAAAAATATGAGAGAGTTGTCTCTCCTTATACTAATACAAAAAATAAAGCATGTCAAATTGTTTCGATTGACATACATCTATTTGTCTAACAATTTATGTAATTGATATGAAGATTTATTATCATCAACAAATATTGTTTATGAATAATTCCTTTCACAAGTTTTTGTTTAAGAGAATAAAATTATCTTAAACATTTTGTCTAATATAGAATGGAACTCTAAATGCATTTTTATTCTTAGATTTGAGACTTATTTGGAATTAATTTTCTAACCATGAGTGACTTATCCTATCTAGTAATTATTCTTTTAAAAATCACCCTTTTTAGGAAATTCCAAAAAAAAAAAAAAAGGAGAGAAAATTTGACAGAAGAAATGGAGAGGATACATGATAGAATAATTCATGGATTAAGCATATTGGAGAGATAATCTTGGGAGCTACCATCTCAAGAAGATTAATTCTCAGAATGGAAAGTTTGCATTAAGAATATATCCACGCAATTAGTGGATTTTCCTTTTATGTTGTGTTCATGTGCTTCAGTTTCTTGGTCTGCCAATGCCAACATCGTAACAATAATAAGAATAATCCATGACTATAATTTCATACCACAGGTATCAAAACCCTATTGAAGAGAGATAATCTTGGGAGCCACTATCTCAACAAGGCCCTTTGGATTGTCAACATGGACCCAATGGCCTGAATTACGGAGAATATGAACCAAAAACCTCCCCTCAGATCCATCTCCTTCCCGACTGGAAAGGCTTTCAAGCTGCTTCACCACATCTGGGTCCCATCGGTCACTCTTGTCAGCACGTACAATGGCGATTTCCATTCCTTTTGGCGGTTGCTCCAACAAAGACCAATAGGACATCTCCCTACAGAGTTTCAGATTCATTAATATGTCAACTTGGTCAGGATAGGCAGGAGTGAAGAAATGATACCTGTATGAATTAAACATCTGGATGGCACCTTCAAGATTAAAAGCCCATGTCTCTTGTTCTCCAGATTTCTTGAGGTTACTGCCTATCCATTCAGACAATGACTTCGAGAACCCAAGTTCCATCATGTGATTAACAAGCCACCTGCCAACGGAAACACAGTCATAAGTATACAAGTTACATGTTTGTATGTGTGCTTGTGTGTTGTCAGTTTGTACAACCCAGAGTATATACAGACAAAGGCAACATAAGGTGTGCTTGTCTAATGCACTTGATTGAGCAAAGAAAGCTGAGAGTATGCATGAATGATCAACAAACCCAACTTCATTTTTCCTAGAATACATATAATGAGAACAGAGCAAACTGTGTATCTTGATTTGATTTGCATTCCAATATTGATGAGAATAAATGAATTTCACCTTTGTTGATACAGAACTCTACATTATTAACTAATGCTTACTGAATAAATGGAAAGAGTAGTGCCAATCAGTGAGTCCAAAAAAAATAAAAAGGAGAGAGAGAGAGAGAGAGAGAATAAAAGGTTAGTTATAAAACTGTAATGCAGAAAGACAACATTGACTGACACCAAATTGGATCTAATTTGTCAAACTGAACCAGTCCATGACAAGCAAGAACAGCAATGCTCAGAAATGATAACATGCCAAAAGAAGTTCATAATAATTTATTGAAGTGATATCAGTCCATAACAAACCAGAACATAAATTCTCAAAAAGGATCCATGTCAAAAGAGGAATAGGTGTTTTACCTCCGTGAGGGAAGAGATGAAGGTAAACTCTGCAAGGTCTGCAATACTTTCTCTACTTCACCATCACTATTTTCAGTCTTTACTTCTCCAGGGACAGAATCAAGGACCCACAGCTGTTCTGCATCAGGAAATTTAGAAAAGAAGGCACATATAATTTTTACATGTTCAAAGTGAAAAATATTATGAAGTGTGATACATCAAGCATCATAACTAAGCAGTCAATTCTGGCTTCTAAAACATCTGTGAACATCTAAAACCTGAAATTGTCTTAGTTTGCTCCTTCCTGGCCAGCAGTTTTAAATAAAGCCACATTCAAGTAACAGCAGACTGGCAAAACACACACCATACCACTTTGCAACAAGTACTGATCAATTCAATACTAAGACAACATATAACAGTGCATGATCAAATTACTCACCTTCAATAAAGTGTTTTATATATATATATATATGTATATATATAAACTTGTTAACAAACCATCTCCAAATTTCAATTTAAGAGAAGAGTCAGTGCTGTAGGTTTAAAATCCAATTGCTTATAAAATGGAAAGAAATCAAGTTGAGAATCTATTCAAATCAATTCTACCCCCATTAAACACCAGCATTACCAGAGCAGAGTATTCAGGTTAAGTCACAACATAAAAACCAGTTGTTCTAGGCTAGAATTCTCAATGCCCAATGTGTCCATGGATCTTTCTCATTTACTAATATGAAGGTTTAGATGGTAAACAACAATATACCTGCTTGGGAATAGCAACATTTTCACCATAATCGCTGGCAACACAACTCTGTGCAAATTGCAATGCGACCTTGCCGCCCATAGAGTGGCCAATGACAACATCAGGCCAAGCCCATCCCTTGTGCTTCACCAAATTAGCCAAATCCTTAGCTGCATTCATTATATCATGCGGCGGATCAAATCCCTCGATCTCAGCTGACTTCCCATGGTTCCTCAAATCCACCAGCACCATCCTCCACTCTAATAACAAAATAAAACAAGAACAACAATAATTAAGCATCCATTTTCCCTGTTTCTCTGGTTTTGTCAGAAAGGAGAAAGATTAGTACCAGATGGGGATGATTTGGATAGAGTGGAGGCGAGACTGCGGGAGAATGAGCGCCAGTTTCGGCCGGTGCCGAGAAGACCGTGGAGAACGAAAGCTGTGCGAGCGTAGGGTTTTTCTGGAGAAGATTGGATTTCTTCGTATGCTAGGGTTTGCAGTGATCTTCTTGTTATCGTGTTGGAGAGCTGATGATCGGGGAAAAATATCGACCAGTCGTGGAAGCGAGTGAGGAGGTGGCTCGCCGCCGTCGCCGTTCTGTTTCTCAAGGTCCGGAGCGTCGCCATTGGACTCTGACTTCCAGAATGCTGGCCTTTGGCGTTGCGAAGTTGCACGGAGTAGAAGGGAGAGGACTAAACTGTTGTAAATTTCGTATCATACCGGCCGGTACGTACCGGTTTTTTCTTAAACCGAAATGGTACAAGGTTCAATTTCGTTTCCGTCAAATTTGCGTGTACCGGCCGGTATTACCGTAATACCGTCCGGTACACCGAAAATTGATCTGCAAATTCAAATTTGGGAACTTTCATTTTTGGTCCTTAATTTTAATATTTTACATAATTTCATTCTTTAACTTTTTTATGTATCTTTTTAATCCATCAACTATGAAAATTACATTTTTTTAATCAATTCAAAGTTAATGTTTTGTATAATATTAAATTAAAAATACTATTATACTTTCTAATATTATCTTAATGTTAAAAAAAAAGAAAAAATTACGAATGGTTTATAAAATTTATTATTATAAATTTGTTTTCAATTCATAAGAATATAAGGTTTTAAAAATTAGTTTCTTTTATCATTATTTTAAAATTTGATATTTAATTTATAAAATATATATTTATAGCAATAAATTTAAAACGGTATACGAAAAATTCTAGCATTCGGTATGTATTATTCTAATAGTAAAACTGATACATATGTCAGTATGATATTAACAACAATTTATACCAACAACCTATTATTCTGTTCGAGTGAAAGGGGTTTAGTTATTTGAAGTAAGGTTTCGAAAATATCGAGTTCAAGTAATGTAAATGGAAAAACAAAGTTGATAGAGCTTTCTTTAATGAGGTTCGATTCTATTAAAGTTCGATTTGGTTTGATTTTCGATTAATCAGATTTAATAAAATTATTGAGAGTTTAGTACCAAAAAGGAAAAAAAAGAAAAAGAAAAAAGGAGTAATAGCACTCGTGCGACGTCGTTTCCTTGTTTCTTGTTTATGGTAATTTACGTTTGATTGATTGAGTGCATAAACTTGGGGTTGAAATATGGAATAATCGCCGAAAAGACAAAAATGCTGCTGTGATTATCGCTAACTGTCACTCTGTTAAAGCCATGTACATAGCCGAAAATTTGATGTAAAAATTTAAGGTTAATAATGATTTACATTATATTATTAGATTAATATATATAATATTATAAATTTAAAAAAATAAAAAAATTAATTATTAAGTAATATAAAATTTATATATTAATATTTTAAATAATATAATTTATGTTACGTTGTTAATTTGAAATTTTCATCTTAAATTTATCTTATTTATTATTATTTTTATTAAATTATAAAATTTTAATAATTTATTAAAATGTTTAAAAATATTTTATAAATTAATTTTATTCTTTATTTTAAAATAATTATTATTTTTGATTTTTTTAATTAAGAATTTAAGGACAATAATTGTATTTATCTATAATACCCCTAAAAAGGAAGTAAAAAATAAAGTCAAAGTTTTTGTGATTAAATAATTAATTAAAGTGAATGAATAATGATAAAATTAAAGTAAAAAAATATTTATCGATCATAAAAAAAATAAAATTAATTTAAGATAAATTTAAAATAAAAAAATAACAATTATTTTCAAAACAAAAGGAATAATCTATTAAAAATAGTTATTATTAATTATTAATTATTCGTAATAATTAAATTAAGATAAAAATTTGACAAGTTGTGTGATTCTAACAAACTTAAAGGTGACGTTAACCATAACCAAAATGCACTTGAACATTATTTATAAGGCCAAAGCACTTATTTGCACCATTCATTTATATTATTTTTGTGATTAAGACCTTCCAAAATTTTTTTTTTCTATTCACACCTTTCACTTTTTAAAACTCGTAAAAAACCTAATATTTTAATGAGCCATCACGGCACCATTAAAAAATACATTACGTGACACCTAAAAATTAATGTAGCAATATGTGAAGTTAGTAATCCAATGTGGATCTCTTTTTTGATGATGTGACTTATTTTTTACACACGTGGACACCATACGTACAATAGGATCCACTACATGGACTGCATGGAGGGACTTAAATCCAAGTCATTGCTTTTGGGTTCCTCGTGGAACCCAACTTCCATGAAAGAACAATCTTTTAATTCACTTGCAAGAAAATTTAAGAACCCATCAAAGAATCAAATCATCATCTTATTATTTTATCAAAACCAAAAAAAATCATAGAAAAGAAAGGCCAAAAAATGGTACAAACTAGGTTCGATGAGGAACCCAAAGTTGGGTTCCACCATGACGAGGAACCCAACTCTGGATTTCTCACGATGAAGCCCAATTCTGGGTTCCTTGTCATAAGGAACCCATTGGGTTACTTGACAAGGAACCCAGATCGAGTTCCTCGTTGAGCAACCCAGATCGAGTTCCTCGTCGTGAGGAACCAAACTTTGGGTTTGTCGTTGAGGAACCGAGATCGGGTTCATCGTGAGGAACCCAGATTGGGTTCCTCATCGTGAGAAACCCAAATCGAGTTCCTTGTGGGACTCGATCTTTGTTTTTTTTTTTTTGATTGGGAGGTTTTCACATAAAATTATCCCATGTTATCATGCCACATCATCAAAAAATTGTTTGTATTAGATAAATAATACCACATAACACCTACATCATTATTTGGATGCCATGTAATGCATTTTTTAACGGTTATTAATGGGGCCGTTATGATTCGTTAAAATATTGGGTTTTTCACGAGTTTTGAAAAGTGAAGGGTGTGAATAGGGAGAGGAAATTTTGGAAGGTGTTGACCGTGGAAATGATATAAATGGAGGGGGCAAATAGGAGCTTTGGCCTATTTATAAAGAAAATTATGTTCTTACATATTACCTGAAATGACCATTATTTATGAACAAAATTGACTAACAAAGAACCCTAAAGAAAATATTCAAGCTAAATTGCAAAGGGTTCACAAGAGAGCAAAAAGTGGAAATCCCCAATCTTCCTTAGTCAAATGGCTCAATTCGTGGATCATGTTCACTTGCCATCACCATCCCAGTGCACAAGCAAGTTGGGCACATCACCTAAATTAGCAACTGAAATATCAGCCTCAAAACACAAAAATGCCATATGTTATGCTAGACAGAGTTGTGACACTGAAAGTAGCATTGAACTAGTTTTATTTACACAAATAAAAGCAAGCAGTCATTAGAGACAACAAGCATTGCAGGGAAAGGGAAAAAGGGGGGAAAAAAAACAAAGCCATGGATTTAATGATCAGAACCTATTTTAAAAGCAGCATGAAGTGCTACTAGTCCCCTCCCTATTTTCTATTAGTTACTATATGAAAGGTATCTTGCTAATCCAAAAAAAGAAAGGAAAAAGAAAAAGAGAACTAGATGAAAGGTAGCCTCAGCATGGCCAGGTTTTATGGACTTTTCACTGAAACTACATGTGGGGAACTGAAGCAACATTTAGCATAAGACAGTTTATGAACACATCATCAAAGAATAGAGATAAGTTTGCTTCTCTGTTTATGTTTACCTTTCCTGCTCCAGAGCAGTTTGGACACCTACAAGTTGTTGGCACTTGCAGAGGGCGATCAGTAGCAGTGGATAATGAGATGGGATCAATGCTCAAGCATATGCCGCTTGCTGAACATCTTGCACAAGCCAAGTATCCTATCCGTATATTAAGAAAAAAAAAGAAAAGAAACATAAAACAGCTAGAAAGACACATTTAGAGATCTGTAGTCACTAGCAAAATAAGTGGATATTTAATCATAATGAAGAATGAAAATCACTTGGAAGAGATGATGAAACCAGATCAATATCAAGGCAAGGTCTAGCTCAACCAGATCAATTTCCACTATTGTTGAAATCACTGTGTAAAATATGGATGCATTTCCCATTCTGTAATAGCTAAGGACTAACTTCTTTGTCAATAAAAAGAAAAAGAACACAACTTTTATTCCACAGTTGAAAAATGCACATACCAGTTCCATGGCAATATTTGCATCTTTTCTTCTCTTGTTGCTTAACATTGTTGGCTTCAATTAGCATCAAGCCTGAAATGACACCCACTGCACCTCCGGAAAAGGATGCCACAATGGGATCAACCTGACTGAATCAAGAAACCAACAAGCTGATAGTGTGACTTATCTTCAAAGCATGTTTATAGTCATTTGCACTAAAATCTTGGCTACTTCAGATTTAAAAATTTTTCAATTAAAAGAAATACAAACTCAATCAATACCTCAACTGCAATGGAAAATGCAACCTGCGAATGAAATCTTCATATGATGTTCCCCCCAGACCTAATTTTAGCTCCAGCTGCCACGTAAAAGAAATCTAAGCATTTTAAGCAAATGAAACTTTTACATTTTTCTTTTTGTAAAATAGGGAGGAAGAAAAGAGCAACCTAAAATTAAATGGTCAGCATGACTTATACATAACTTGGTATGAAAATTGAGAACTTACAGTTGGTGCAATGAGGCCCCCAAATATGATTATCCCAGATATAATTGTTAAGCTAGTCAAGTACAGCTGCCTTAAGGTCTTTGGTGTCTACCTCAACATAATGCATACAAAGTGAGACAACAATGATAAAACAACTGATGAACAACAGATCTCTAAACTGATAAAGCTTAAAGTGGGACTTGAGTTCACAACCTCACATGCAAACTTAGTTTTCAGGTACATCTGTAGTCTCTGTGCTTTTATCAATTTAGTGTATAGTCAATTAAGCAATATTTTAATCTGCTCTGAAACTCACCATATGAGGGAGAAAAGGAATAGAAGATGGGATGTCAGGCATCTCATTTGTTGTCTCTTCCTCGCCACTCTCATTGATAACTTTTGCACTCTTTATGCGATGTTGTATTCGCAATCTTCTCACCTATCCAATTAATTTAATGAAACAGAGATAAAATGTCAAACCATGAATCCCACTTGGAATCAAGACTTGGCTTCTTTATATATGAAGATCCCTACAATCCTACTTCTACATTTCTGCTAAAATTCTGAGAAAACTAGGAAGTAAAACCACTAAAGTAAAACCCAGATTAACTTTAAAAATGTGTTTTAACGAAACCTCACCTCTTCCATGAGCAGAAAGATCTTATTACGCCTGCTCTTTATATTGTCTTCGATTTCCTGCAGCTGCATCTGCACAAAATCCTGAACCGTTTCTGGCCCCTCAATGATGCAAAAGTTTCTGACAAAGGAAAACATAGAAGAACTTACAAAAACAGTGACCCAAAAGAAGAATGCAATCAAAAACATACCATCAATCTTGAATTTTGGCCATTTCTTCTGAAAATCGGTTAATGGAAATTAGCTACCCAAATGCTACGATGCAGTTTACCTTAATTATAGTAACTATAATATCAAATTCAAAAATCAAAAACTGAATATAGAAGGAGAAGGAAAGATGGAAATAAGAATGAACCTGGAAATGTTATCACCGGAAGGGGATTTGGAGGAAGCACAGCGGAATCGAGATGGGGAAACGAGTTTGACTGGAAAAAGGAGTTTAGGGTTTCCATGAAAGGAGTTGAATGAAATTAGGGTTTTGAAAGTTGGAGACGAGGCAGAGGAAGGAAGGAGGTGAGAGCAAGCAGAGAATGCCGCCATTCAGACTGGGAGTACAGAAATCAAACGGAATATTGGTAAGATGTTAATGCCATCAATAGTTAACCGTCAATATAATATTTTGAGTTTTGACACCATTACCATTTTTATATTTACAGTCCTTAGGATGTGGTTAGAGAAACAATTTAAACTTAAATTTTT